CCCCCCCGTGCCCAGGCCTGCTCCAGATGTGAGCGTGGGCACACAGGTTTGCACAGGACCCCTCCCCCAGGTTTGTCCTGTTTGAAGGGCTTCCCCTCACGAGAAAAGGCAGTGTGTTCGTGCATAAACCCGTGTCCACACCAGTGCCTGCCGTGGAACAAGTGCTGTCAATGGCCTGTGAGGACGGCGACACTGAGTGGACATCCCTGCGCTGAGCAAGGGGAGCTGTCCCACACGTCACACTGATGGGGCAGGACCCACACCGAAAGCTCCCCAAGGGGAAGCGCCTTTCTCAGGTCGCCCACGGGCTTCTGTTGGCGCCAATCCAGCACCTAGTAGGGCCTCTAGCTGACACTTTAATAGAACCAAACACAGCAAAATTCACAAGAAAAACTAGTAAAATGCAAAAATTACATTTAGAAAATTCCATGTTATCATTAAAAAAACGTTCTGGGCACGTCTTCATTTCCTTTGAAGTTATTCTCACTATTACATTTGTGTTTTAATGTTCTGATTCAAATGTTAAAAATTAGTAACTATAAGAAAATTCTGGGCACAGAAATCTAAGTAAAATCACTACAAATCAAATACCAATTTTAAAGTTAGCTACAGAAGTCAGTGATAAAATTATTTACCTTTTAGGCAGTTTTAATAGCTATAATAGACTAGAGGCCCGATGCATGAAGATTCATGCAAGAATGGGCCTTCCTTCCCCTGGCTGGTGGCACCGCCTTCACTCTGGCCCGGAGTGGCTGCATATGCAAATTAACCCACCATCTTTGTTGGGTTAATTTGCATAGTCACTCCTGATTGGCTGGTGGGTGTCACAAAGGTATGGTCCATTTGCATCTTTCTCTTTTATTAGTGTAGATTGCAATAAAGCAAACACAGCTGTTTAAGTATAACAATTTGCAACCCAATTCTGTCCACGTAATTCCGTCAAGTGTCCAAATGGGAAAATATCAACCCCTGTGCTCAAAGCGGCCACGTGAGAGCACAAGACCGCAAGCCTGCCCACATTGGGCCCTGGACTGCGCCCACCCTGCTCTGCCTTCTGCTTTAAGTTTTTGGTAACAGAATGATGGGTGAGTAGGAAGCAGTCCCACAAATACCCAGTTCTTAATGTGTCAATGCCACCACCACCCACAGCAGGGCAACAAAGCTGGGGAGACTCTGTATATTCATCATTAAATGCATGTGGCAGGAAAAGAGGCTTTAATTTTCCACCAAAGGAATGAGTCCACCTTAGAGTAATTTTATTTCCTTGAGAAGACATTTTACATATGTTGGTAACAGTAGAGAAATGTAACACAAACTTTTTTTGAATGCTTTTTAATGTTTGGAACACTACAGTAACCCAAATTTCACATTTACAGTTAAAGTTCTAAGTACTTCATCACAAAGGAAATTAGTCCAGCACTCTGAAAGTGTTTTCACTCTTATTATGGTGTACAGGGAGACACTCAGGCTGGCTTCTTGGGTTTTGTTTAGCTTCCATGTTTGTTACATAGTTTCTTAAACTGCAGGCTCAGAGGACTGCAGCAGCAGGCGGGGAACATTGGAGTCCTCAGTCACTGAAGCAAGCAAGCCTCATGTTAGATTCAAGCTGCCTGGCTGCCGGCCGCCATCTTGGCTGGCAATTAATTTGCATATCTCGCTGATTAGCCAATGGGAAGGGTAGCAAAGTTACAGTTAATTACCATGTTTCTCTATTATTAGATAGGATTGCAATAAAGCAAACACAGCTGTTTAAGTATAACAATTTGCAAACCAATTCTGTCCACGTAATTCCTTCAAGCGTCCAAATGGGAAAATACCAACCCCTGTGCTCAATGCGGCCACGCGAGAGCACGAGACCGCAAGCCTGCCCACATCGGGCCCTGGGCTGCGCCCACCCTGCTCTGCCTTCTGCTTTAAGTTTTTGGTAACAGAATGATGGGTGAGTAGGAAGCAGTCCCACAAATACCCAGTTCTTAATGTGTCAATGCCACCACACCCACAGCAGGGCAACAAAGCTGGGGAGACTCTGTATATTCATCATTAAATGCATGTGGCAGGAAAAGAGGCTTTAATTTTCCACCAAGGGAACGAGTCCACCTTAGAGTAATTTTTCCTTGAAAAGACATTTTACATCTATTGGTAACAGTAGAGATATGTAACACAAACAAACTTTTTTTGCATGTTTTTTATTGTTTGGAACACCACAGTAACCCAAATTTCACATTTACAGTGAACTTTTTAATAAAAATATGCTGTACACAACATTATAGATACATGTTACACAAAAGTAAACATTGACACTTACACAGTAAAGAGCATGAACTCACGGCCATCATCCTTCACATTCCTCTAACTGGCCAGCACCACTATGCTTAGCCTCAGCTCTCACTGAACCAGCTGTTCACTAGCTGCCATGAACCGTGAGGACTAAGAATGAATTTAAGTTAGTCATAACGAATTATTACATTACTGTGTACCAAATACTTCTATATTTTCAGATTGCCAGTTACCAAAACATTCAGACTCTTAAAAGATGGAGGTTCAGTTCTCCACCACGCGGCCTTGTGGGCAACCCCTCTCCACCCCCCGCCCAAGCAGGCAGCCATGGTCCCACACTAACACCATGTGTAAGTCTGATGGTCAGAAATCCTTCAAGCCAAACCACCCATAAAGCACCACTGCCTCTTGCCAGACTGGGGGAGACCTATTGACCATCTGCCTGGCCCCTGCTACTTACAACTACTGCTGCTCTATTTCAGAAATTAAGATCCTGGTTAGTTAAGTCTCTCAATGATACATTCACCATCACTGTAAAATGACTTGAGCATCATTACTGGGAAGAATACAAGTTATCAGGCTGTGCTACTACCAACACACACACTTCCCCAGGGAGCCAGCGGCCGGAACGGCAACACTGTGCATGGGAACCTGCGGTCTGGCCCAGTTCACCGAAAACCACCTGAGGCAACCAAGTAAGACACATGCCCATCCCCTAAAACAGCAGTTCTCAACCTGTGGGCCGCGACCCCTTTGGCAGTCGAACGACCCTTTCACAGGGGTCGCCTAAGACCATCCTGCATATCAAATATTTACATGATGATTCATAACAGTAGCAACATGACAGTTATGAAGTAGCAATGAAAATAATTTTATGGTTGGGTCACAACCTGAGGAACTGTATTTAAAGGGCCAGAAGGTTGAGAACCACTGCCCTAAAAAGTGTGTCCACTTTGCCAGACATGCAGCAGGTACACGAGTCACAGGTAAAGGAAAGGACTTTAGGGCTGCAGAGCAGCACCCCGTGAGGGTTCGCAGTATTGCCCATGCCACCCCCCGATGTTAGTGGTTTTACGTACATTCGCCCCCCGACGTCATCCCAACACGCGGCTTGTCGTCTTTATTCTCCTTTCCCACGCAGGACTGCAGTGAGCATCACGTGACTTATTCCTAGGATTGATTTTCTGGCACTGCGCCTACTTCTTTCCATTCTCATGAAAGGACAGGAGGGCACAGAGGAGCATGCAGCACCTAGGGCCCAGCCATCCACCAGGCAAAGACCAGCCGTGCCCGTCGCTGCCCCTTGGGCGCCCGCAGACCCTGCCTTCCTCTAGCACCGGGCGGCGTGGGTGAGTCTCCCCTTCCCTGAACAGACACTACAAGCCCCGTTTCTCTGGAAGGTCACACTCAGGGGACGTCTCTTGGAGCCTCCCAATCACGGGGACATGGGAGGCTTTCCTTCGGACTGAAACGGCATTTTAGGAAAAACTACTTATTTTAACAAGTTTTCATTTTTATGTCAAATTTTAACCTTTCCAGATTTGGAATTGTCTTCAATTTCTAAACTGTGTTTGAAAAGTCATGACGATCACATGGGTAAAGTGCAAAGAGCAGGGCCCTGAAGACAGGCCGCCCACCTGCTGATGCGACCAACGTCCCTTCTCTCAGAGCGTCCGTCCCAGTGGGGATGCTGGGGGGTGGGGGGAATGAACAGATGGACATCCAAATAGGTATGTCAGGTAACAATAAACGCTAAGAAATTTACTTTTCTAGCGATGCTTAGCTTACTAATTTTATTTTTCAAGCGCACCAAACTTTTGATCCGTGTTTTATCTCACATGTAGGATGCAGAGTTTAAATGACACATTTTAGTAGCGGTAAGAAATAAAGGGCAGAATCTTTTTTTTTTTTAATCCTCACCCAAGGGTATTTTTCCGTTGATTTTTAGGGAGAGTGGAAGAGAGAAGGAAAGACAGAAATCTCAATGTGAGAGAAGCCTACAATTGAGGTATATGCCCTTCACTGGAATCGAACCCGGGACCCTTTGGTCCACATCCTGATGCTCTCTCCTCTGAGCCAAACCACCAGGGCAAGAGCAGAATCTTGAAGACCTGAAGGTTAGGCCAGAGGCAGGCTCCTTATGCTTCCAGGGCACTGGAAAGTGGTGGGTGTCAGACTGGCACAGAATGGGATCCTCTCGCTCAGTCAGTAACTTTAAGCCCAGAAGAGAAGCATGAGTGCACACATGCTTCTGTAAATGGCCTCCGGGCCCAGCATCCATGGGCACGAGACCAGAACATTCCATTTCACGCAGAATCACAGCAGGAGAGGGTGGGAGAAAGGGGTTGATCAGCAAAGTCTATCCAACTCAGATTCTGTGATTCTTATGAACCATCTTATTACAAATATGAAAACAAAACAAACAAACAAAACAGAACAAAACTGAGATGCACAGATGTTCATTTCCCAGCTGCCAGTCCAGTGTTCCTTCTATTACATGACTTCCAGGGCACAGGCCTCTTGAGCAATCTCCTCATTAAACAAATCATTTGCCATCATTGTGATGACTACCGCTATAGTACTTGTGACAAATTTTAATCCCACATCCTCTTTTACTATTTATTACTGAGTCTGTGTGCTAATGGAAATAAAAGTCAAGTTTATTATCAGCCAAAACTCAGTCTTGGAGAGGCCAGAAGACAGCAAGCCATTTAAAAAGAAACGGATTTTAATGATAAATGTAGTACAGGCACCAAGTGCAAGTTCCCAACAGTCCTGAAAGGTGTAGGTCAGAGTAAAAGTCCTGCACCGCCACCCGTCCCGCAGCCCCACCGCCAGAGGGCCAGTGCGCCCTTCCTAAAGGCGAGATGGACGCACACGTGCAGACACACCCCTCCCCTCCGAGAACACAGGGCTCGTGGGCTGGGCCCGGAGGACAGAGTGGCCGCCCACTGGGAGAGCCGGGGTTAATTATACGGGGCAGCAGTGTATTCATGAGAAGGTGGTCAGTCTGACAAGGACACGATGTATCCATTTGTGACTCAAGGAAGCCAGGCCAAGGCCTCTCAGCTGTGCACAGTGTCACCCTCTTCCTTAGCCACGGGGACCCGTTGTCAGCCGAGCACAGAGAACTTAGCAGGAGGGGACGGAGGGGCCTGCCACGCGGGCAGCAAAGCCACGTTACTGGCACGGATCGAAGACCATGTTCTTTGCTAGCCCACAAAGAGTGATACCAAGTCCAGGGTTTTTAAAGATATAAAGACTGGCCCACACCGGGAAAAAACCTGCGCTGTCAAAGAAATGTTCTCTCTTATAAAGCTAGGACACCTGGTGTTATGCCAATCTGAGACTTTTACCAAGTCCTCGTCCCAGAGATCAATCACTTTCCGATACCAAAGAAAGATGTGCAGCCCCGAACGTTCATTCAAGATAGACAGACAAAACTCCACCACGGAGGCTGTCTCCAGACAACTCTCGGTAAAGACCAAGAGCACACATTCATTTAAGAGGGAGATCTTCCTCAAAGAAAACAGCAGCCTCAGAGAAGATTTTAACGAAATTACCAGTTTAAGAAAAACACTCAAAAAAACAACTTGGGAGAGGAATAAAAACGGATGATAGAAAAAGGCACTTACCCAGAAGCGAGACAGGCTGGGTGACCGGAGGGGTGGGCAGACTCGTGGGCGCGGCGGGCGGCGCGGCAGAGCCGTACATTTTCACACCGTCACCAGACTCGGCGTGTCCTCTAGCCCCAGACACCACTGTTGGAATGGGATTTCCAATAGGTAAGTCTTTGGTGGGGTCTTCGCTTATACCAGCGACAGTAGCTAAGGGACACAATCACATCGACATGTGATGCTGAGCAGCTAATTCTCTCCCGGCCACGTCTACGCCTAGTACTGACCCACCTCCCTCCGCTCCCGGCTCCAAGGAGAGCTGGACACCAGGGAAACATGCTTACAGTTTGGGATGCTCATTGGTGGAGTGTGAGGAGGAGGAATGGACACGGGTGGAGTTATAGGAGGTGGGGGTCCGGGAGGAAGAAAACCTAGAATGAGAAAAACAGTCACTTGTGCTACATCACTTCATCTCACACTCAAAACCACTGTCTTCTCGAACAACGTGGTGTACCTGGTGGTAAATGCATTGGGTTGAATCCTGGGCGTAAAAAGGGCGGAGGCGGCGGCGGTGGCGGAACGCCAGGACCGAAGCCCGGTGGTGGAATTCCCAGAGGCGGCGTGAAAGCGGGCGGCTGGAGAGCACCAACCACAGGAGGCCCTGGCTGATGTGGGGGGACCTGGAGAGGAAGGAAGAAAGATGAAGCCACCCACCCAGCCACCCCCCTCCCACACGGCAAGCAGACAAAGCAAATGCCTCGTTGGAAAAACAGACGTTTCCAAACTGGTTCTTATTATACGAGTAAATTAGAAAACAGATGGGAATCTGTACCCGCCCCAAACGACAGGAACCCAGTGAGCTCTCTGCTTTATGACAGCAGATCTGCACTGTGCCTCCCAGCGCCGGCTGCGGCCCGACAGAAGGTGCCCCGCTGAAACGATGTCCCACGATCCGCCAGTCCGTCTGAGAACGTAACCTACGGAAAGCTCCCCACCGATTCCACAGGGATGGGATCTGTCAAACCGCGGGGCCGGCTCTGTGACCGGAGCAAGCGGACCCTCTCTAGACCTCAGGTTATTTATCTGTAAAATGGGAAAGTGCCAACCTCAATCCTCATGGGGACTGAAGAGTTAATGCATGTTAAATGCTAGTGCCTGGCACTTAATAAACACGCAACAAATAAATATTTGCTATTGTTTAAAAAAAAAAAGTATGAACCATTTTAACAAATGAGTCAAGTTTCTTAAATGAATGCTGACATACTTGAATCTCATTTACAATCTACACCGAAGGGCATATCTAACAGGTCGACTACAGAGTGACCACTTAGGAAGTCCACTTGTAAACTACACAGCTGAAGAGGCCAGGAACCCCACTGTTAGTGCGGATTCACCCGGGGAACTGACGGTAAGAAACAGAGGAAAGACGAGAACAATCTAGTGGATCATCTGGAAACCGGGGCAGCTATTCACAATGTAAACCAAAGGTTTCTGTGGAGATTCGGTAACAGGAAACCTGCGAGTGTTGAGCGTGCCTCGTTTGGCCCTCACCCGCTCTGACGGAGGAAGGCCACGGCCAGGAGAGGGCACCTGCCCATTCGGACAGGGAAGGGTGCTTGGGGGTCGGCGATCTGCTCAAGGTCAATGGAGCTGGGATTCAAGCTCTCATCTACCAGGACCAGCCCTTTCTCTGAAGTAACAGGGCAGCAGACTCTCTAAGACTAACCTTCATGTTAAATGGCACTCAACGTATCATGACCGCACCACCCAAACCGAAGGTTTACCAACATCTTTCCCTCGAAACAGCTGCTTGTCGGGTATGAATCCAGCTCCCTCAGAGCCTAAGTCCATGAAGAACAAAGATCCGATATGAAAATAAAGTGAGAGTAAAAAGAATAGAAGAAACGAACGGGTTTGCACCTCAGGTCTGACACAGTGATGGCGAAGCTTTTGACTCAGCCTGTCAGCATTTTGAAAAACCCCAACTTAACTCTGGTGCCGTGTCACATATAGAAATTTTTTGATATTTGCAACCATAGTAAAACAAAGGTTTATATTTTTGATATTTATTTTATATATTTAAATGCCATTTAACAGAAAAATCAACCAAAAAAAATGAGTTCGCGTATGACCTCTGACACGGTGTCATAGGTTCGCCGTCACTGCCCTAGTGTGAGGTATCTGTAACCTAGGCAGATGGAAGGCAATATGAACGCATTCTAGTCTCATTAACATTATTTAAAAATGTGCTAAAGAGCTTATAAGCAACAGGTTGGATATATCAAAATATGACAAATAACCCACGTTTATGACTCGGGTCTCTGACTATGAATGCAGACATACATCTACGTAAGATCTGGAAGGTTTATTTCAGAAACGTGGAAGTCGAAAGAACGCCCCGCCCCTCTCACCTGTGGAGGAGGTACTGTGATAGGTGCGGGGACGGGAATAGGAGGGACGGGCACCGGCAAAGGCTTGGGTATGGGTGACACTGGTTCTGCGTGTGAGCTTTCTGCCCCTCCATTCTGAGCAACTTCATTCTCATGCTTCTTGGTAATTCCTTTCCACTCTACGGGAGTTCAAGAAATTTAACAATAGCAGCTTACCATGTTAAGTTAAAACTTTAAATCCAGAAGTGATTTTTGAAATGCTGATTAAAATAAAAACACCCAGTGGTCTATTAAAGAAATGCCCATGCTAACCTCATAAATTGGATTTAAATTAGCCACATGCAAAAAGCAACTGCTCGCTGTGTGCCAGGCCCTTTATACACACTAAGCAATGTTAACTCTCAGCGCCTGGAAGCCGTTCTATTATGACGAGTCCCGTGTTATGAGGAAAACAAAGACAATCTGTCCCAGGCCTGGACCTCAGTACGCGGCAGATGCCTAGTCTAGGTTCTTGTTTGGACAAAGGGTCGGGGCAGGAGGAGCCTCCCAGAGTGCCAGGCACACAGCAGACCCTGGGCCCCGCTGCCCCCGACACGGCTGTGTGTCAGTGAAGCACCATGCACCGTTCAGGGAGGGGCTGGGAGCAGTCGTCCAGCACCAACGCCTCCCGTGGCTCCAGCCCAGCTCCTGCTCACACTCCCCCACGGCCCTCTCCCGGGCCACGCCACCCTGTGCCCTCCCACATCAGCTCCCGGGCCCTCTCCAGGTCATGCCCAGAGCCGCCGCCACTTTCCCCCTGCAATCCCAGCCTGGCATCTCTCATAGGCCTGACCACACCCAACTGCACCTCCTTGCCATACACCCCTACTTCCCACGACTTTTCTGGACTTTCACACATTTTCAAAGAAATGACTACAAAGCATGGGATTACAGCACAGTGTCGACGACGACCAGGTTGGGGCTCATTGGGTCTGTCTGACCCATGATCAGTCATTGTTTACTTTGGACCCGCATCTCTCCACTTACTATAAGTTGCAGAAGAGCAAAGACCACATCTACCTTAGTCACCACTGTGTCCTTGGTTTATCACGGAGAGAGTGGCACACGTGGTACTTGAAAAATCTCAAAAACATGCTTCACCGTGGCAAGAAGCACCTGCCGCACGCACCGCACGCCTGAATTTTACGTCCACCAGCGCCGCGTTACCTGGGTTAAGCGTGTCGCTGTCCAACATGCCTCCTTCGCAAAAGCCCTCCAGCTCCTCAGGCTTCACTTTGTCCCAAGGAACGTAGGTCACGCCCAGCTCCACGTCCCAGTACTGCTTGTAGTCCGCCTTGATGCCTTTGTTTAAGGCCCAGGCGATCTGTTCACCGTGAATTCAATATGGAGAGAAAGGGACACAGGGAACGCTGTGAGGTTCGAGAGCTCAGTTCCTCCCATTCTACTTGGGCAGCAGGGGCACCTGGCCTCGCTGTCCTGGGCCTCATCTGCCACCAGGAAAGCGGTGCCCACTTGTCTCCCGCTGTCTTAGGATGGAAATGTAACTGGCACCTCCTCCTTACCCACTTCCTCCATCACCCCACAACCCAGTCAGCATAAGACTTAGAGAAAAGACAAATGTTAATCAGGGCAACTGCCGACTGCCCTGGACAACCCAGCACACGGGGCCCACTCTCGGAAGCCAGGGACCCTGGGATGATCCAGCATTAGACAAAGCCACTTTGTGGCCCAATCCCAGGGCAGTGCTCTGACACCAAGGAAGCACTGCCTGTGGCCCCGAAGGGAAGAATACCCATTTATCTTGATCTTTTTCCTATCTTTGTTGAAGATTTTTCACAGTTAATGCTAAGAAAAATGACAAACTTTACATCGAAATATTTTTAAAGAACAAGATAAAATATTTTACTAAATATTATATTTAAGCCAGCCAGTGTGGTTCAGTGGTTGAGTGTCAACCTATGAACCAGGAGATCATGGTTAGATCCCCAGTCAGGGCACATGCCTGGATTGTGGGCACAATCCCCAGTGTGGGGCATATAGGGGGCAGCCCATCAAGGATTCTCTCTCATCATTGATGTTTCTATCTCTCTAGCCTTCTCTATTCCTCTCTGAAATAAAAATATATTTAAAAAATAAAAATAAATAAATATTATATTTAAGGCACCAATACCTTGAAGGCTTGCTCTATCTAAGTTTTAAAAAATTAAAAATTCTACCATGAACTTAACATTTAAAATTTGGTAATCTTAACAGATAACTTTTTGTAAAAGATGCATATGAAATATGCTTCTGTCCAATATTACAGTTGAAGACAACGGAGTCTCAGGTAGCACACTGTACCTTTATGGACTTCTGGTTCACTTTATAGTTCCCTCGGCTCAGCTTCTGCAGGGCGCGGTAGGCGTCTTGCCTGTGCACCATAACAATGTAGGCACAGCCTCTGGGAGGAATCATCTGCTCCAGGAGATTTCCGTGTGAGAAAATATGGGCACAACATCAAAGAACAACAAGATACAAGTCACCAGTTCCCACAGCCCAGCCAGACCCGCCTCCCCGGTCACGCCAGCGCTCCGTCACCGGAGAGTGAACACCTCGTCAGCTGGCCATGTACGTTTGGTCTCAATTGCCAGTTATTAAGGAGCCTACAGTCCCCTAAGCTTTATTACATAAAGACTTTTCTAGAAAAAGGTTTTAAATGTGGTTATTATAAGATACATGATTAAAAGCAGAGAATGCTAAACACGGACTCAGAACCCCTACACTCTAGCCACATTGTCTACAAAACCTGGGAAAATGTTAACTGAGGTCCCAATCCTTAATTTTATGAAATGACAATCACATCTGCCCACTGTCATTAAGTAATTTAATAAATACTCACATTAATCGATTCAATTGGACCAAACTCTTCTAAGAGACTGGCAACGTCCTGCTGAGTCGTCCTCTTGTCCAGCTGTCCCACCCAGAGTGTAGTGCTACAAACTGAGAGGAAAGCTGTCGTCAGCAACACGCACACCTGACAGCGAACCTCTGCACCCGGCATCAGGAAATCACCACAGAACCAGCACGAGTGATTTCAGGCTTGAGTAGCAAGTCCCACAGACTAGTACGTTTACATATTCTAGAAACTGCGGTACTGCTTCCAGAATTGAAACCAGAATAGTGCACACACACAAGCGTCAAAGCAAACTGCCTCCGTGGGCAGACCAGAGACTTGATCCTAACCCCGAGCCCAGCCAGTGCAGCGCCCGCATTCACCGTGCGCACCGGCCCCCCACCTGCCGAGCGTGCCCGAGTCAGAAGCCTCGCAGCCGCCAATTACAACACCGGGTCAGCTCCCGATGCAGCACACACACTATTACACAGACTTCATGCAATCAGAGATTCGGGAAGCAATGCAAGATAATGCCGTCTGTAATAGGAAATCTTCAGAAAAGTAAGAGGGGATGAGTGATTCTAGGGGAAAAGGCAAATAAAGCCTTCCCACTGTGCATGAGGTTGGCTAGAATTTGTGTTTCCCGCACGCACTCCTCACTGCTGCTTTACAGCTGGCTTAACGAGAAAGCAAATCCAAGAGTGTACAGTCAGCTAATGAGACACATAAAGCAGGGTTTTGCTAACAATCAGGAAACACTCTAAATCCACGACATGAAGAAGTCACGCAGAAGCCCGACTGCAAAGGGGAACGTACCGCTCGCGGTCTCGGACTTGACGGGAGGAAGGCCTTTCTGCCGACGCTCTCTCTCTTTCTCGCGGTCCCGTCTTTCTTGGGATCGCGAGCGAGGGGAATGGCGGCGTCTGTCTCGGGACCGAGATCGAGAGCGTCGATGCCGAGACCGTCGAGATCTAGAACCAGATCGAGAGCGCCTCCTTTTCGGTGACCTAGTATTTTCAGGAGGAAGAATGGACAGCACACGAAGAAAAAGTTTTAAGCAGGTAAGCACGTGTTAATTTGAAGAAGAAATAAAAATATAAAGCAGGTAATTTAATGTGTGAATACGTAAGAAACCGGCAGCAGGGAAAGAGTCTACTGAAATGACAGCAGGAAGAAGGCTGGCAGCTATGGTAGTGCTCTCACCGCCGAGCCTCCAGCGCTGCACTAACTACCTGCCTGCAGTCACAGCTGTCACCGGCCTTCTCAGCCGCCCTCTTCGCTGCGGCAATTACAACGCCGTGTAAACGATCTGTACACAGGCATCCCAGCAACTCCCAGGGAACAAATGTGGGTGAGACCACTGACCTCAGAACGGTGTGCAGGTACTTCTGCTCCAACTCACACACAGGCACACAAATACACCAAGTGCTATTTATTCACCCAACTGGGAACCAATCCAACTCTATGCCTCCTAAGACACATAGGATTGGAAAAACATTTTCCATAAATTACCTGGATGCTGACCTAGATCTCGACTTTCTGTTATCAGACATATGCCGCTTCACCTCTTGAACACAAGGCTGTTCTACTTTCATTTCCTTTAAAAACAAAACAAACAGCTATCATTAAATGAGAAAAGGAAAATTATAAATAAGGCACAGGACAAAACCTAGAAACATTCCATTCCAGGCTCCTGACCTGAAGCGGTTCCCTTTGGGTTACTTGAGACCCAGTGGCCTTCAGTGTAAGAACCTTTACATTGTTTATGAGGCTAGAGGACACACTCTCCTTTCGGAAATGACTTCGTGCAGGTGACACACTGTTCCAATAGGCCATCCTGAGGTACTTGTTAAGCATTCTATACTCTATCCCAATCCTCAATAACGCCCATTTTACAGATGAGAAACGTGGGGCACAGAGAGGCAAATGTGTGTCCAAGGTCAATCTTTCTTCACATTCACAACTGCAGATGACAAGCCAATAGGCAGGAACCAGAACAGCAGTCCCGGCACCGAAGGTCCTCAATGGCGGGAAGGGAGCTTTACCTGCTGGGCTTTCTGTGCGAGCGGCTCACTGGGGGCCGGGAAGGGGGCCTGGAACGGCTGCTGCACGGGGGCAGCGGGAGGAAGCACAGGCGGAGCCAGGGCGGGGAACGCAGGCGGGGGCAGAAGACTGAACCCCGGCATCTGTCCATTAGGAGGAAGTGGAACCTTGGTTTTGAAAGAAAGGGTATGCGTAGATTTTAAATAACAGCTACCAAAAACAAATTTTAAAGCCCCGAATTTAATATGAAACTAAAATACTTTCAAATAAATTTTTATCAAGGAAAAATAATAATGACACACAACAGTAATTAGCAAATTCCACAAATCATCATTACTCAAAGAACTGTTACACACCCAAGTATATATCCAGGTTAAAAATCCCACGGCTCATTTTAAAATTATAAACACACAGGTTTGGGTTTACATATTTAAAGATGTAACTTCATTTACTGTGAGGAAACCATGTGACAGACTGAACTTAAAACCAGAGATTCTCTGATTTTGGAAGAGGCGAGAAGCACTGGCGTCAGGTTCATTCTGTGAGGAGACGTCCATCTCACGTGCCTACTTCTAGGATTTCAAATATAACAACAAGAGTGAACCACAACCTAACATATTTCTGCATGTGCCATTCCAATGTCAATACAATTACAAATATAATTATGTCACAAAAGAAGTATTCTTTCTAAATTATTTATAAACGTTCAGTAACTGTTAAAACATTTGGAAATAAGTTCATGGGTTTTCTTCATATTTTAAATAGGCTTATAAAATACTTTTCAAACTTCATCAAGTCATTAAAATATCGATATCAACTTCCTGTCACCAAATGTGTAAAATGGACGGAGAGCGATGTGAGTGCCGTCGGGACAGATTTCTTAGGACCTCGCCTACACAAGGCCATCGAGTGTTACTCCCAGGACTAGCGGTACAGCAGAATCGCTGCACAATCAAAACCAGTCTCAGATTCACTGTAGCACTGGAGGGCCAGGATTTGCACTTTTAAAAAAATGTTTTATTGACTTTAGAGAGAGAAGGATAGAAACCAGCGATGAGAGAAACATCTCGATTGGCTATCTCCCAAACACCCCTAGGGTCGAGCCCACAACCTGGGCATGGGCCCTGACCAGGAATCGAACCGGTGACCTCTGGGTGCATGGATCAATGCTGAACCACCGAGCACACCATCCGAGCAGCATTTGCATTTTTTAAAATGCCCTTCCCTGCCCCCATTTACTGAAATGCATAGTCAAGCTTAAGAAACTGAATTCGAGGATTTACTAAAATAAATCCAATGAACAAATCTCTACCCATTGCCTGCGATTCCCGTGCGCTATGCTCCTTCCAGTGCAGCCCTCCGGCGCCCACCTGCCTGCCGAGCCGAAGGCCTGGGAAGCATCTCCTCGCCCACTGAGCAGGCTCCTCGGCGGGAGAGAGCGCTGCCGCTAACAGGCCAGCTCCCTGACACAGGCCAGGGCCTGCTGCTCCCTAAGCTACTTTACAGCAATGCTTGCTGTTAAGTTAGGAGCATGGAAGATTTGGCATCCTTGTTTTAATTAAAGCAAAAAGCGACTCAAATCAGTTACGTGCTCAACAGTGTTTACTGCAGGTGTGGTGCTCCTTATCCCATCACGCCGCTGAATGGGGGTCTGTGAAGCGCAGCCCGCAGGCTGGAATGAGCATCTGTAGACATAAAACTCAGCTGCAAGGAACACACCTGTACCTGATGGTGCACTGGGTCCTGTTGCATTGCCATCATGGGCGGCTGAAACGGATCCATATTTTGATGTTGGGGATAAGCTGGTTGCTGCATGCCATCTCCAGGATACCCACTGAAAAAGCATGAGTGATCCTTTTACCCAGTCCAAAACACATGCCTCACTTATACAGAACTATAAAGAATGTTCTCCAGGAATCATTGATAATCAACAATTTACTGAATCGTCTATTTGCCTACATACTAACTAATACACTGAGCATTTTTTTTGTGTACATTTTTAGGATCCCTTCCTCGTGTGGGAGAAAACCCAAAATATCATTTTTTACAAAGACAAGGACTGTACACGGAAACGGTCTTGCCACCCCACGTTCCTCTCCTGAGCCTGTGAACACACTGGCCACGGAGACTCACAAGGGCGCCTGTGGCGGAGAGGCAGCGGGCAGGGCAGCAGCGGGCAAGGCCGGGGCGGCAGCAGGTGCGGCGGCAGCAGAGGTGGTACTGGCAGCGGCGGCGGCAGCGGCAGCATCTTCTTTCTTCGATTCTTCCACAGCTTCTGGCTCATCGTCATAATCAAATCGATCAAGTAGCTTCTGCAACAGGGATGTTGGTTTTCCACTTTAAAATTCCGACAGCCTTCAGTGCACAAGACCTTTATAAAAACAACAGATGTTCCCACCACCTCTAAACCTACCACACGGTCACGTACAATCTCATTTTCCCACGTGCGTCTAGGAGCTGGTTCACAGACAAACCATTTTCACACAAATGCCATTTGAAAAAGACAGCTTTTGTTCTGTTTTCTTCCCTAATTATAAAGGCGGTGTTTTCTTTCTGAGCATCGTCTATGGGCTTACTTTATTAATTTAGCAAGGTAAGTATTCTACTGAAATAGTCATGTTTCTAGACAAAAAACTTTTGGAACTTTGCATACATGACAATGGTGTCCCTTTCAGCAGGCTTCAGAATGTACAAAATGCAGGATTGTCTTACCCAATGGCGATAAATGCCCACAGAAAAATGCCCAAGGCTGCCCGCCCACAAATATGTTCATATGAAAAGAAAAGGTGACGGGCACAGACAGGGCTGACAGAGAAGTCTCACCACCTGCGCACTAGCCTCTTTCTCAGAGCTTCCCGGCTCCCTTCAGATGACCAGGCACGTCCATGAGAAAAGGGACAAACGGACAAGGCACGCCACCAGACCACATGTCCAGAAGAGCCATGGAAGCTACCATCACATTTGCTCAGAAAGGAAGGAAGTTGTGCAATACACACCCGCTACTGCTTTGGTAGATCACACACACTTCACCATCACAAAAGCATGCAATGTAGACAGGTTTTCTTCTTTTTACAAACAAGAAAACTAAAGCTCAGGACAGTGAGAAATATAACCAGGATGGTAGTCAGTGAATGCAGACTCAGGAGGCAGACACGGTCTTTTTGACTTCAAAGCCCCAGCCTCTGGCGTCCAATGGGCAATCTCCTCTCTTAAGCTGGGTCCATTCTGTTCATGGATTTCCAACCTCAAACTCCTAAATCTGTGGGGCTCTGTGATAGTTCGGCTAGAACTTTACTCAACAGAAGATTTCTGAATGAGGAAGGGACAACACATGTTTCTTTCTAATTCTAGGCCATGAGATTAAAGGTTCTTACTGTAACAGAGCGATCCAACATGACCCAGGCATCTTGCTGTTTCACACACATTAGCTTATTTAGCCCTTGCGGCAATCAAATACAGGCGCTGCCATCACTGTTTCATAGTGGTGCACACGGAATATCTAAGTAACTCAACATCAGAATAAAGCCAAATTTAAAACTCAGATCTAAATTGCCTACAAAAAAACAAAACCTATGATCTCTAAAGTTTATCACATATAAATGTGCATTTAAAGTCTTAAGGTCTATACCTATTGCTTTGGAAAAGATTTGAAATAATTTAAAAAATTACAATAATATCTATACAAAAATACATTTTTGTTGCTTTTTAGGCACCTGAAGATCTATGAATCAGCTGAAATAAACCAACTGTTCAGTTTGACTCGCTAAAGACGGACATTTTCAGCCACAGGAAGAGCACAGAATTCCTTTTCCCAAACGTGACATAAAAACAACCCACTTCAGGTGAAGCATTAGAGGAACACACCCCAAAGGAACAAGGTGCGGAGCCCCTATCACAGCCTTTTCCTGGAGTCCTAGCCACCAGTGCATTACAAAAGGGGAGAGAAACAGGCAGAGATGTAGAAGGGGAAAAGTAAAAAAAGCGGCTACCTACAAAAGCAGAGAACCAACTGTAAAATTAGGTGTTTGATACCATGACCATTTTACAGGATAAAATAAAAATCGATAGCTTTTGCACTATGTCATCATTAACCAAATGAAATGTTATGTAACAGTAAACCTGAAAAATACCTAAGAATAAATAAAACAAATGTACTGAACACATACAAAAAAAAGACATTGTAGTATATGGAGACTGTGTAAAAAACTATCAATACTTCTTTTTTTAAAAAAATATATTTTATTGATTTTTTACAGAGAGGAAGGGAGAGAGAGTTAGAAACATCGATGGGAGAGAAACATCGATCAGCCGCCTCCTGCACATCCCCCACCGGGGATGTGCCCGCAACCCAGGTAAACGCCCCCGACCGGAATCGAACCCGGGACCCCTCAGTCCGCAGGCCGACGCTCTATCCACTGAGCCAAACCGGTTTCGGCAGTACTTCTTAAATTAACCCATAAACTCATGGATTCTAAAACTTATGCCAAGTTCACCTGGAAAAGTATGCTGAGCTGGTTAACTATGTGTCAACTTGGCTAAGTTATGGTGTCCAGCTGTTTGGTCAAATATTACCCTAGGTCAGAGGTTCTCAACCTGTGGGTCGCGACCCCTTTGGCGGTCGAATGACCCTTTCACGGGGGTTGCCTAAGACCATCCTGCATATCAGATATTTACATGACGATTCATAACAGTAGCAATATGACAGCTATGAAGTAGCAACGAGAATAATGTTATGGTTGGGTCACCACATGAGGAACTGTATGTAAAGGGCCAGAAGGTTGGGAACCGCTGGTCTGGAGGCACTGTGAAGATCTTTGTAATGTGACTAACGTTTCTATCAGTGGGCTCTGAGTGAAGAAATGCCCTCCATACTTGAGTGGCCCCACCAATCAGTTGAACGTAGGTTTCCTGAAGAAGGAATCCCCAAGACGCAGCAGAGCTGTGCCCTTCGGGATGCAGACTCAAGACTCGAACAGTAACTCTCCCTCGAGTGTCCAGCCTCCAGTCTGCCCTACGAAGGTCAACTCTGCAAACCTCCACTCCACAGCTGCATGAGTCAAAACCTCAGCAACCAACCACCCTCCCTCTGTCCTTCCCGTCCTCTGGGTGGGCGCTGTGTGTGTAACTGGCTTGGTTTCCCTGAAGAACCCTGACTATAATCTTGGCTCCAGAACAGCTAAAGAAAACCGGGAGGGGGGCGAGGGGGCCTAATACCTGGAAATAAAATATGGCCTCTAAGTTACAAGTACTTAAATTATAATGCAAAATAAACAAATACATTAGTGGGACAGAACAGAGTCTAGAGCAGTGGTTCTCAACCTGTGGGTCGCGACCCCTTTGGCGGTCGAACGACCCTTTCACGGGGGTCGCGTAAGACCATCCTGCACATCAGATATTTACATGACGATTCATAACAGCAGCAACATGACAGTGATGAAGTAGCAACGAAAATAATGTTATGGTTGGGTTACAAGATGAGGAGCTGTATTTAAAGGGCCAGAAGGTTGAGAACCACCGGTCTAGAGATAAGCATAGAGATAAATGGGAATTTAGTCTCAGATAAAAACAGTGAGGGAAAATTAGTTTTTTCTAAAACTATACAGATTTAACTATCTTGAACCATATTCTAAAGTAGGTTCCAAAAGAACCAAAGAGACAAATGTAAAGAACAAAAATATAAAACCACTAGAAGAAAATATAAAATTTAAAAAAATACAGGTGGGAAGGTTTCCTAATCAAAACACAAAGTAGAAATTGAGTAAAACCACAAAATGGAAGTATTTACACTCACACGTACACGGAAGTAGTTCTGAAAGCACACACAGATCTGCTCAGAGAGAAGCGGGTTGGAGCATGCTACATTATTCGTGTTCTCCCCTCCCAGTGGAGGCCTTCTGCACTCGCGCATTTTATCCAACCTGCTTCTAACCAGCGGTCATTCACAGATTCCCAAGACAGAGCACAGCCCTGACCGCAGCTCAGCTGGCGAGCGCCATCCGCCGCACCAAGGCTGCAGGTCCGTCCCGGTCAGGGCACATGCAAGAGCCAACCATGAGTGCACACATAGGAGCACGGCAAGCGGGTGTTTCTCTCTCCCCTTCCTCTCTATAAAATAAAATCCATAAAAATCAATCAATCGCCAAGACACAGTGACAACCAGTGTGTACCGCAGAGTCTTAATTTGAACTGCCAGCATATTTTACATAAGATATAATGAAACTTATTATATCTTATAATTAGAATGCTGGAAAGAAATGAGAAATCTCACAGATGATTAAAAGTTATCATTTATTTCTAGGACCTTCAAACTTGTGCTTTTTGTAGTGAAACCTGTAGAACGAAATAGAATGTTATACAGCCTTAAACCCACAAAAAGGAAGAGATGAGACGACCGGAGTGGAGTTATCTGGGTTAACATTTCAACCCGAAGCTCAGAGCTATGCTTATTCAACACATCTACACCCTGAGCGCGGCCCCTTGAAGATGGCAAGGCCAACAGAGCAGGAGGACACCGCACAACCCACACCCTCGTACAGACGTGGGAACCAGGGCTGTTAACAGCACAACCCGGAAGCAGTGTCAATGCCTACTGAGAGGGGGACAGCTAACAGCGACGTGTCCAGTCACGGACCGGGGCCTAACAAGCGAAAATGGAAACCTAGCTCTATCCACCTTCACGGCACCAACACAAAGATGAGCTAAGATGATTAAGACCAAAGCGAGTGAGCTGAAAGGCACCTGTCCCCAACAAGGAAACTCTGAAAAGAGGAGCAGTAAAATGTTCCAGTCGTCACGCCACGTCCGGGCTTAACGGTACACGGTCTGTTCACCTTCCTTTACAACTGTCCACTTTTACTTTTCATCCTTTATTTCTTTATTTACGGAAAAACTTTGCAATGAGTCTATATAAATTTGTAACCAGAATTAAAACAATGTTTTGATGTTGTGGGGGAATACCTGAAAGCACAAATAATAAAACCAACAAGCCACAGAGACGCTAGAGAAGGGCCAACTCCAACATCACAAGCGAGTGACATGCACACGGGTGGTGTGGTGAGAAGCGTACCTTGTCAAACGCCGTGGCCTTCTGCTCAGGCGGTGGTGCCGGAGTTGTCGTTAACTGAGCTGTGATGGCCTGAACCTGAGCCATCACAGCATTGTCAATGGCGGGAGACTGTGGTTTTGGAGGCTGCTGAAAAGTCTGAAGGATCTGCTGAAGCTTAAAGAATGGCAAAACCGATAAACCACCTCTCCAAGTGTAATCATTGCATCAAAGACATTTTACTACAAAAGCTTAAAGGTGACTCAAAATAGCATAGGCACAGAGTAAACTAGAAAAGAGTCAACATTTTAATACTGTTAGGTTTGCTGTGAATGAATACAGCGAGGATACAATCTGTGCTGCTTAAAGTTAAAAATGGATGTTGACAACCCCACTGGTAGAAAATAATGGTCAAAAAGAAGAGGGAAGACACTGAATTGCGAGCAAGGTAAATATATGGTTTTGGAAAATGTAAACATCATCTCCGATTCAAGTAACTTGAAACCAGCCTGCAATGTGAGACCTGTGAGCAGCACTGGCCGCTGGGCATCCTGCGGCTCGTTCTCCTCCAAGGGCGCTGCCGCTCTGTGGCCCGGCTCACTCTCCACACCCCACCCCCGCGCTGTCCGTCCAGCCAGGCCTTTTGAGCTGGAGAGCATCACTTCCTCCCTCGAACGTGCTCATTGTCCGGAAGAGAAACAAGGACCCGCACCAGTGCCCACCGCAAACACTCCCGCTCCGGCTGCTTACCTGCTGCCCTTGGGTCGTCTGGAACAGCTGGGCCACAGCAGCAAAAGCATCCGAACTGGGCAGCTGCTGGACGGATGGCACAGAGTTTGTAGTGACCAGTGGGGGTTCAGAAGAAACTTTAACTGGAGGAGGCGGCGAACCTAAGAAAGAAGAGGTCATGAAGGACTAAGAACACTTTAACCTGCCAATTTTTTTTTACACTCCGTTAAGCTTCTTCCCCAAAACAGCGTCCGTTCAGTTTAACACAGAGAACAACAGAGACTGCGCTGCGAGAGTCGATGCTGGAACAAGTGCGGGAAGGGCCTCGTCTTCATTACGAATAATTATGGGAAGAGGCCATCCCTCCACGATGCGATGCCAGCTCGAGCTTCCTCCCGGGAAAAGTCCCACGGAGGAAACAGACCCGCTCCGCGTGCAGAGGCCGCCGCCCACAGCTCAGAGCCGCTCACCTTCATTGTTAGCGACACTGTCGGCCCCTGGGACGGCGCTGCTGCTTCCCGCGGCCATGTCCAGAAGGGGCTGGATAATTTCAATTTTGAAGACTCCATTTTTTTGCCAAAGGTTCAGCACACGGACTATTTTACTCTGTTATGTGTGAGAAAACGTGAGTACACAATTAATATTTGCATAAGCAATTTATTACACCTTACCAGAAAAAGAGAGAAATACAATAACCTCACGCCAATTTTTCCATACTAAGCCGTTTCTTTGTATGTGTTTTTTTTTAAATATATTTTTATTGATTTCAGAGAAGAAGGGAGGAGAGAGAGAGAGAAACATCAATGATGACAGAGAATTATTTGATTGGCTCCCTCCTGCACACCCCACACTGGGGCTCGAGCCTGCAACCTGGGCATGTGCCCCTGACCGGAAGCAAACCCAGAACCCTTCAATCTGCAGGCCAATGCTCTATCCACTGAGACAAACTGGCTAGGGCCTAGGAAAATAAAATCTATTGTCAGAATCACAGCCTCATTAAACTAATCAGCCTTTCTTCAGCAGTATAATCTACAATACGAAACAGAGAAGGGAAAAAAGGAAACAAAAGTAATATAACCTACAGAATCAAAAGAAATTGATTATTTAATAGAGAAATGTATTTAAAATTTTCAGGCTTTATTTATGGTTAAAAAAAAACCCCACCCATCACTGACAAAAAAAGTTATAGAACTGAAGAACTTACTTAGGATGATTATAACAACTGCGACAGTTAAGAAACTGGCCAGTAGTGGACAGGCAAGCAGTTAGTGGACAGGTAAGTATGAAGGACCTGAGAGGTGTTGTGTTATTTAGGGCGTAACTCGTCTCCTACCCAAGGACTGAGGCTCTTCTTTCTGTGTGTACTTTTCCCACAAGAGCACCCTCCAATATACACACAGAACCACACACTCAGATTCACATGCTGTTTCCTGTGAAGGTCTCCATTCTTCACAACTCGGAAGAGACTCACCAGTGCCCTGCTCCCGCCTCCTGGAGTCCCTGTCTGCAGAACCAGCGACACACGTGCGGAATCGGACACTGCCGCCTGGCTGCTAACGATACCGCTGATGCTCCCACACCTCTGTATGCCAGGCAGAGCCACCCCCTACTGCCCCTTCCTTCTGGAATGCGCAGCCATCTGAGATGAGCCCTGCCTTTCTCTACCACAGAATGTCCTTGTCACTCAACTACAAGTGAATCTTTCCAACAATGTCTTCTTTAAAACACAATGGTCCTCCCGCCCTACCGGTTTGGCTCAGTGGATAGAGCATCAGCCTGCGGACTGAAGGGTCCCAGGTTCAATTCTGGTCAAAGGCATGTACCTTGGTTGCAGACACATCCCCAGTAGGGAGTGTGCAGGAGGCAGCTGACCGATGTCTCTAGTTCTCTATCCCTCTCCACTCCTCTCTATGAAAAATCAATAAAATACATTTTTAAAAAAACACACACCAAAAAACCCCACAATGGTTCTGCCCAGCCAGTGTGGCTCAGTGGTTGAGTGTCAACCTATGAACCAGAAGGTAGTGGTTCAATTCCAGGTCAGGGCACATGCCCGGGTTGTGGGCTTGAATCCCAGTAGGGGTGTGTGCAGGAGGCAACCAATCGATGATTCTCTCTCATCACTGATGTTTTCATCTTTCGCCTTCTCCCTTTCTCGCTGAAATCAATAAGAAATATTAAAAAAATAAGAAGCAAAAACCACAATGGTGCTTTCATATTTCAACAATATGACTTTCCTAAAGGATTTTACAAGAAAGATAAATATGAGAAAAAACTATAGAAAAAACTGGATTTTATTTCAAGTTCAGAGATTACTATGATTTCTTTCTAATACTACAATAGGCTTCAAATAGCTAAAATACGTTTAAACAGATCTAGATCCAAATAAACAGAAATGAAAACAAAAGCCTTAATTAAAAAATTAACTATATTAACTATACCTTATCTTCAGATGGACAAAGATATAAATATTGGAATGTGGCGGTTATGTTTTTAGAGAATCTTGGCCCAAAAACATCTTTATCGGTTCCAAACTGGTGACGAGACTGTCGTACAATTGAGTCGATGACATATAACCCTGGAACCTTGTATTCTGGTTTACACTACGAAGATAAAGATGTAAAGTCAATACAAGAAAGCAATTTGACACCCATTAACCGCACGTTAATGAAACTGTATGCTTATGGTTCTTTCTATTTAGAAACGACTCGAATGTTTAGCTGTCTTAATGGCCAGCTTGTCAACTTCCCAGTCTATACAGCGCTGCTATTTTCTTGGTACGTCAGACCCCATACTTTACTTTTCTCTGATACCCTACCTCCCACAACAATTTCCCAGAATCATCATTACTTTACCAACCCCTACACCAATTCCATACAAATCCAATTCATCCTGCTCAAAACAATAAATTTTACCTTTTAAAATTGTGAAAAAGATAATTTTAACAATGTATCAATTTTAATTCTGTTCAAGTACAGTGCCAGAAAAACAAAAACCAAAAGGGAAGGTTTTTGGCCTATGAAACGGAAAAGATAAAAGTAATAGAGAAACAGATACTACATACATTCCAGTGGTATAACCTTTATGGAAGATGATTTGCAATAACAGCAAAGCCTCATTTAATCCAACAATTCTTCGTCTAGAAATTCATCCTTACAAAAACAATGACGAGGCATCTAATCTTTCCACAAGCCAGGCACCGAGTGCAGCGTCCCACTCGGGGAAGCGGCTGAGTAAGCGCCGGAGACAATCACGCAGCAGATCGCGCTGCAGATGTTCCTGCTATGCCCAGCGGGGACGCAGGCCATCAGTCCGCGAGTGCCCACTCCCCTCGATGGGTGTCCATGTGCATAATCAACAGGAGCAGGTCCAAGTCTGCTCTCTGTGGCAGTGGCGGCGGTGCCCTGCCGGCACCTGTCACCCCCCCATGTTGCTTATTTGTGCTGTGATTGGCCTCTCCACCTCTCACACTCCTCAAAGGCCCTTACACGCCACGAGTCTGCACCACAGCGCACAGCTCCAGGTTGGGGAGAAGACAAAGATGCCTCCGTCTCCCTTCTCAGGCCTCTGCTGAGCCACACACGAGCTCATCACACGGCTGTCAACATGCGGCAGCACTGGAACTAAAGACCAGGTCATTATGAGGGAGCAGGGGAAGCTGGAAAAGCTTTACAAAGTGCTTCCGCTTGAAATGCTCCCAGAGGAGTCACAGGCCACAGAGTAACAGGGCAAAGGGCAGGAGCCCGAGGCTCGGTGCACAGGGAGCTGCTGGCGACGCCCGCTCCAAGCGCGCGCTCAGCCAACAGCGTGGCTCTGAAGTGGCTGTTTTCTCTTTAAAACCCTCCCCAGGTTTACAAGAACCCGCAGCGACAACTTTTTGTTTAGTGGCTTTACAAGCAAGCATCCAAATCACAATTTACCGAGTAAATTACAAATACTGAACATAACTAAAATGAGGTAATAATTAAATGGATAGTTACCTTTTTGATGAACTTTTCTACTATTTGAACTACATGCTTATAAAGCTGAAAAGAATTAAAAGAAAATTATTGTCCAGTTTACATATTTTTACATTTCCTGCAATGTAATTAGAAAATACTTAAAACCTTGAAATTTGCATTATTTAAATAGTTCTCAAGATATAAACACCATATATATGATTTCACTTTTATGTGGAATCTAATAAACTAAACTAACAGGAAGATTATACTGAATAAACCATCAGAAATAACCTAGCCAACAATTGAAAAAAAATCAGAAATTAACTAAAGCACAAAACTACAACCCTTTAACCCCAAAGAATAGCCTTTTCCTTAGATTTTTAAATCAATAAACCTTCCCAAAGCAGCCTGAGAGCTGGGACAACGGAACTGGAACTAAGTGATGCAGTTTCTAAAACTAGGTGTGATCTTGGGTAAGAAATTTAATTTTGTGGAGCCCAAGTCTTTATTTTAAAATAAAAATGAAGCTAACACTCCGCTGATCTATGACAAGAATGAAATGAAGCCAGAATCCGTGCCGCTCTGCCCTCCTCTGGGAGCTGGGATTTTCCGGGACCACACGCCGCACGCGGCCATCGGGGGGCTGTGTGCTCAGCAGCCTCACTGTGGCCGTCGTTAAGCAGTGTGTGTCACCAAACCATCATGTTTCACTACATGCCATTAAGTACTTATAATTGTTATTTAATTATACCTCCATAAAACTGGAAAATATACAAGGGAAATACTAACAACAAAAAGCAGGGAGAACCGTTGTGAAGCAGCCTTATACTGCAGACACCCCACACAACTGCCCTGAACCCACAGCAAAAGCTGGTGAGCGCTCTTTGGTTCAAGCTGAATGAATTCACAAGATGAATTCTCATGTTTAATAAGTTTCAAAATTTCAAAAACAGTTTTCAAATTAAATGTTTATTTTACTCTTACCTTAATGGCTTTAATAGCAGCTTTTGTGATGAGAATCATCTTGGCTCGAGAGATGGGAGGTTTCATATCCATAAGTGAAAAGAGCTTAAAAAAATCAGCAAAATATAAAAAAAAAATGTTTTTAATTAAAGGTAAAATGAGAAGTCAATTGACCAGTTCTACAAGATGTTTGTAATTTATTAACTAACAGTAACAAACTTTTGGAAGTAAGTTTAAAAATTTGGCTAGTAAAGAAAAATCAAGGGTGTCCTACATATCTGCACGACCCCTCAGGAAACACAGTGGGAAAAGGTCACATTAAATAGAAAAAAACAACAAAACAGCACCAAGGCCCTGGCCAGCGGGTCAGCGCTAGAGCGGCGGCCTGGGCTCAGAAGAGTCGGGATTTCCAGTCTCAGTCAAGGGCACGTGCCTGCGTTGCAGGTTTGCTCCCCGCCCCTGGTTGGGGGGGAGGCAGGAGGCAACCAGACAAGGTGTCACTCTCACATTGATATTTCTCTCTCTTCCCCTAACCCTGCCCCCGCTTCCACTTTCTCCAAAAAGCAATGGAAAAAATATCCTCAGTTGAGGGTTAACAACAACAAAAGCAATAAAAGGCAAAAAAATTACGAAATGTACAGAACCTATAATATAAACTTATTCCACCTACTGAAGGACACTGTTTCCTGACTGAAAGTGGCAAGTGTGATTCCGTATATAATGTACTTCATCCCAAACCTCCGTGAGATTGTGGAGAAGTCAAACAATCTAAGATTCATTTGGAGAAACTCGTCTTAAAATCAAACAAGAAATTTAAAATGCCATTTTAAAGCTGGAATCCACAATTTCTTGACTTATTCAGGAATAACAACCACATTTAACAAATCACACAACAGTAAACGACACCACAAACCTCACTGAGATTTTGTGAGAGTTTAAATCCACCGAGACATAATGAACCCACAGGTTATAAAGATAAAATCCTGACATTAAGACCCTTATATACAGCTTCCTAAATTGTTGTTTCCGTTTTGCTTAATCATAGGCACATGCTGAGTTTGTGGGATTTCTAAAAGGGTATTTTGAAATAAACATTATCAACCTTACATGAATCAGATTTCTTGTTTCTTCCCAATTAATGCTAATATTTCAAACACAGACTTTCCAAGATATAGACTTTATTACTAGACTGCTTCTAAGAAGCTAGCGTAGCCCGGCGGGTGTGGCTCAGAGGTTGAGTGTCGACCTACGAACTAGAAGGTCACGGTTCGATTCCGGGTGGGGGCATGTGCCCGGGTTGCAGGCTCGACCCTGTGTGGGGTGAGCTGGAGGCAGCTGATCAATGATTCTCTCATCATTGATGTTTCTATCTGGCTCTCCCTCTCCCTTCCTCTCTGAAAGCAATAAAAATAAATAAATAAATAAATAAATAAAGCTAGCCTAAAGAACAAAAGTCTCATTTCCCAGAGGAACAGCCCTACTTGGCAACATATTCTAAAGCGTAGAATTTTTTCATAAATAATATCAAGACACAGAAAATAGAAGAAACGAAGATGCTAACACAGAAATCCATTTTTTAAAAAAGGAACATCTAAATAAATAAGGTCATGGTTCTTTATTATTTTATTTACCAACATAATAAAAATTCTTGAGAATGCTCACTAATTGAAAAACAATTAGAAAGAAGATAGTAATCTCAGATTATATAAGTCAAATGAAAAACAAGAAAAATTTAAAATATTTCAACTTAAATACAAATTCAAAAAAAATAAAAATTTAAAATATCAATACTGTATGAAATATAAAAAACACATTTATAAAGGGAATATTCTGACCACTTATAAATTATAAAATTTATTAGGACAGTTATTACTATTCTATTTCTTTCTTTGTACCTTAAAGTATAGAAAAGGGGGTGCAAAAATAAATTTATATATGGGTCTTAAGAATGAGCAACAGTGAAATTACTTCTCTGGCCATTAAAAGCTTAGAGGATCATTTTAATGAAGCCTACGCCAGAACTAATATTCATTTAATGTCCAAACAGGACTTCTTTATTATTTCAGCAGTAAGTAACTTGCCATAAAAAAATAAAAATAAAAAACAACAAAAAACAGCCAACTGAGCTGACAAGAAAGACCAGATCAGTGTTATCTTCTGATGAAATACCCCACATAATCTATATATTTAAATTATCATAATTTATCTTAAAAGTTAAAATACTGTACAGACTATTGTACCATATAGCAGTACCATATTCCAGGCGAAAAGACCAGCGAGAGAACCTTCAAGTGCTCTCATCTAAGGTGCAGAGGAAGAGTGTTGTCACACTCCCTAAAGCTGCGGTCGCCAACAGATGATCTGCAGACCCCTGGTGGTCCGTGAGGTCCAATAGGTTGGCAACCGCTGCCCTAAAGAAGAAACTTGGGTCCTGACTGGTATGGTTCAGTGGATAGGGCGTCGGCCTGTGGACTGAAGGGTCCCGGGTTCGATTCCAGTCAAGGGCATGTACCTGGGTTGGGGGCACATCCCCAGTGGGAGATGTGCAGGAGGCAGCTGATCGATGTTTCTCTCTCATTGATGTTTCTAACTCTATATACCTCTCCCTTCCTCTCTGTAAAAAAATCAATAAAAATATATTTTAAAAAAAAGAGAGACTTGGGAAGAGGCAGCCAGCATCTGAGCGCCTGTAAACTTAGGAAGAACTGAGTTTGGAGGTACACTACTTTATTGAATTACTAGAGGCCCGGTGCATGAAAGTCGTGCAGGGGTAGGGTCTCTGGGCCTGGCCTGCTATCAGGGCCGATCTGCGGGGCGACTGACGGGGTGATCAGGGGGCCTCCGCCGGCACCCACCTTGGCTGGCCTGGGGCCTGCAGGAAGCTCCTGCATTGAGTGTCTGCCCCCTGGTGGTCAGTGCGCATCACAGCAACAGGTCATTCCACCAGTCGTTCTGCCGTGCAGTCAATTTGCATCTTAGGCTTTTATTATGTAGGATATTAACACATTGTATGCGGGAAACGTATTTATACGTTTTACTTATACGTTTTACGTTGACTGGTAGTAGAGCGCGAGACACGTATTAATACGTTTTTTATAGACTAGCGGTAGAATGCGGGTAACGTATAAATACGTAAACTAAAGTTATCGTAATTTTACTGAACAGTTGCCGTTTGCGCAAAAAATTAGCAAAAATGGCCCGCGCCACCTGTTAGCGCGCGATAAAAACTACCCGCAAACAATGTGTTAACAACTAACACAGATGCTGTTACACTTGTTGAGATGATCCTCAAAAGCGTTACATCTGTTTTAGATGATGCCCAGAGAGTGGTCTCAACTAAAATTTGTTGAAAGTTCATTCATAATCCCTAATAGCATACTCACGCCCTTACAGAATACAGACACAATAATAAGCAGGCATCCATGCCTGTCTATATCCTGTATTGGTCCAGGGATAATATAATGAAACATACTGAATTCAATTTGGGAAGCCTACTCAATACCCAGGCAGAGACTGGAATGTGGATCTTGAACACAGAAGAGATCCATGCTGAGAACTGAAAAGTCACAAAATCAAAGGCAGGAGGACAGGTGAGAGGACCGTAATAGTGAGAAGGGGCCGGGAACAGACGCCTCGCCAGGGTACACACCAACAATGCCAAAGTGGCACAGAGCAGGGGCTTCCTGATCAAGCACCGAGGCTAATGCCAGAAATGAAAGGCATGGGCAAGGTCAGTGCTGCGAGGCGAGGATCCAAACTTTGCTCACGCCCTTTGACAATCAGGTGGCTGAAGTGATACCAGTTTTTGAAAGTGATTTCAAAGTTCAACTGGTTAAGGAAAAAGCGGCAGGTGAGAGCAGAAATGCAATATTGGACCATTTCTCCTTCCTTCAACAACTAGCTGAGAGCTTAATGAGGGCGGTATTGTCAGCTCCGTGTTTAGAGGCAACAGTCATCTTGCAGAGCCCTACAGTGACCACTCTTCAAACAGCTCTGACAAGGCTTCCATCATAGTTAAGTTTCTCTTTAGATGCTGTTTACTTTCCTTTACCAATGTCTTTCTTAAGTTTTAAATCTGGAAATTTGTATTTGATATAGGTAATTTATGAAGAAAAACACGAGGATATATAGAAGCTTCAAAACTGGACGTTTAAAAAATTACCTTTAAAAACTCAATAGATGTTACTAATATTTCATTGACTTCTTGAAGGCACAAATTCAGCACACAGGGCTCCTCATATTTAGATCAATGCCTTCATTAGATATAGTGATCGATCCCAAAATTAGGCTGAAATTGATATACTTTACAGTAATTATGCAGACTGACACTTCTTATTTAGATAGAAAAATTAACAGCCTTTATGATGAGGTAGCTATAATTCCATTTTACAGATGAGAACACTAAGGCACAGAAGTTCAAGAATCTACTCCAAGCCATAAAGCTAATTGATAGTAAATTCAATCTGTGGCCTACACTTCCCAAAGCTCAGATTCCTTCCAGTAAGCACCTAACAAAAAGGAAATTACTTAATACTCTAACAACGTTAGCACAGGAGAACAATGCAGATATTAAAGACAAGAAAGACTACAGAGCAAAGAAAAAATATATGCATTTAGACCCAATGAAAAGGTAATAAATTGTTATAAGGGAGTGGACCTAAAGATTTCCTCAAAATATATTTTTATTGATTTCAGAGAGGAAGGGGAGGGAGAGAGAGATAGAAACATCAATTATGACTGAGGATCATTGATTGGCTGCCTCTTGCACGCATCACACTGGGGATCGAGCCTGCAACCAGGGCATGTACTCTAATTGGAAATCAAACTGTGACTTCCTGGCTCATAGGTCAACACTCAATCCATGCAGCCACCAGACTGTGCCCAAAGACTTTTTAGTATCAAAAAGTAAGTGGCACAGAGGTGAAGTGGTTATGTCCAGCCCAGCAACAAGAGAGGAAGAATGTACCTGAATCCAGAACAAGACTGCAATTTAATAATTCTATTTAATAGAGGGAATATGCTAATTGCCCCTCACACCATCACAAAGAGGACAGTGCCCACAGCCAATAAGGAGGGAATATGCTAATTGACTGCCCCGCCCTCAA